AATTTTCTACCATTGCTACCATTCATGGTAACAACAGTAGGAGCACTAATGCACACCATCAACCAGCTGCTGCAGCAGCCCAGAGCAAGTGTAGAAAACACAGTGGTTAAAATCCTGATGGCTGTCAGTGCTTTGTCTATGTAGGCTCTCAACCTTTCCAGACTACTGTACCCCTTGCAGGAGTCTGATTTGTCCAGCATACCCCAAGTTTCACCTCACTTAAAAACTACTTGCTTGCAAAATCAGACCTAAAAATATAAAAGTGTCACAGCACAGAATTACTGAAAAATTGCGTCCTTTCTCATTTTTACCGTATAATTATAAAATAAATCAATTGGAATATAAATATTCTACTTACATTTTGGTGTATGGTGTATATAGAGCAATATAAACAAGACATTGAATGAAATTTGTTTGTACTGACTTCGCTAGTGCTTTTTATGTAGCCTATTGTAAAACTAGGCGAATATCTAGATGAGTTGATGTATCCTCTGGAAGACCTCTACGTACCCCCAGGGATACACATACCCCTGGTTGAGAATCACTGACCTAGTGCTCTTTCTATGGCTGCAACTGGTGGAACTGCACCGGTATTAGCAACAATACGGCACACTAAGAAAAATGCCTAGTTGGCTTTGGGCAAGTCAGTTAGCCTCTCCAGTGTCTGCTTTTGCCATCTGCATCATGGGTGGCTTTGAAAATATTAAGTGCTAAGTATTATTCCTGTCACAAAATCCTATAAATAAAATAACCCATATTTTGAAGAATTTACATAGCCGGTTGGTTAAATGGTGTTTCAGCCTTATCTCTGAATTTTCTGTCTTTGTGTTATTGTTTATTACTTTAGCACTGTTACTTAGACTAGAAGATGTACCTCTGATTTCCATCCATGCAAATTGGTTCTAATCTTATCTGGATTCACCCATCCCTTGTTTGATTCAAGAGGGTATATCTCTCCTTTAATCAAGCATCTAATCTGTTAATATGAATGAGTAGGGTGTGTATTGTGTCTATCCTGCTATTGAAAAAACATTGTTTATGAAAATACATAGTGTTCCATTTTTATAGCTCTCTCTCACGTTATAGATTTGGCATGCATCCGTTTCATTGTCTTGGCAAGACAAGAATGCATATGTCCCAGTCTGGAAAAGGATACATAAATTGTTTTAGCTGGGTGCCATTGGTTACCGTTATTAACTAAAAAGGGGTAACGTCTTGCATAATTCATGAACATGCTAGAGGCAGATGCGTATCCTTAAGTTCAGTGGAGTAGAAAAAATGAAATCTTCATGTTCTCTAGATTTATAATAGTTCAAATCACATTGAATTCTACCCTAACAAAATGTGTTTACTACATGATGGAAAGATTCTTCTGACGTGCACTTGATCTTATTTTTATTTCCCATTGGTAGGAAGAATTTTTAGAATACTTTGTAAGTTTTGGTCAGTTTAGCAATTTTGCAGCGTTAGCATTTCCAAGATTCATAAAGTTAGGTAATTCCAAAGTGAAACTTCTCTTAGATTACATTACCTAGGGTTCATTTTTGGCTGTGGTTTTAAGTCCAAGGTTAAGTATGCTCATTTACTAATTCTGGTTTGTTGCTAACAGGAGCTACATTGTGTTACTCGTGGGGGATTCCATATAAAGGAAACCATGTTTCCGTGGTAAAAAACTGATTTCCTTTAGAATGTGCAGTTCACTAGGTGACAATTTTAATGTGTTTTTAATAAACCAGTTGTGGAAAGAAATAATTTTGCTTTATTGTTAGTAGTCCCTATAGTATGCTTCTTAAAATTGAGTCCTGAAATTAGGAGCAAACTCAGGTTAAACAGAATAGCACCACTATAATTTGATTAAGTTGTGCTTATTGTAAGACATGTTTAATTGAACATATGAAGTACATGAAGGTTTGGGTAATTTATTTTAATGCTCTGCTGCCCTTTATGTGATATGCTGAAGGACAAGATTTGCCTGCTGTGAAGCATTAAAAATAGAAAAATGAGAGTAAATTATGTTCCTAAGTATCTTTCTGTAATATGAAATGTTAAATTAAACACAGACGTACCTGCTGACTCAGGAATACATCTGAAACTTGCTTAGAGCTGTGACACTTTAATCTCCAATGGTTTGTAATTGAGTTTTGCTCCATAAGAGAATTTTTTTTTAATTATGCTGTATGAATGTAAAACATTGGTGCTCTTATTAATTAGAAATACCTGGAATTCTTTTGAGAGAAATTTTTTGAAGCACCAAGTGTGAGGTGGGTATTTTATGTCTTGTCCCTGATGCATTTATGAGTTAAACAGTGAAGAACTCTTGTTCTAGCAAATAAAATCCTATTGGATTTCTTTGGAAGAGGATAATTCTTGATGGGCTCTGGCAGAGGCCTTGTTCTTGAAATGTGCTGAGCTTTGCACTAAATAAATACAGTTTTCCTTAAAAAGCATTAAGTGATGATAAAACTCTAGGTTGAATTGCTTAAGTCTCCTAATGTAAAATGTAGACTGAATGCCTTTTGGAGGGAAGGCCATGATTTGGAATGATGTATAGTATGCATAGAGAAGTGTCCCTTTTGTGCTCCTGTCTAGAATTTATTAAAAAGATGCAAACTAACCTGTTCCTATGGGGATTGTGGGCCTGTTCTGCATCTCTACTGTTAAATCAACTAAACAAGTAAAGTTCTTAAGAAATGTGGTCAGTGATTAAACCAACTAAATTGTGTTGGCTCTTCCCCAGCTGTCTCATCTAGCAGGAAACTGTGGATTAAAAGTGCCTCCTTAGACTGGAGATCCTCAGCTAGTATAAATCATCATAGCGCCATTGAAGTTAATGGGGCTATGACAGTTTACACCAGCTGAGGATCTGCTTCCCAGTGTCTCTCTAAAATTTAGCGACTTAGGCTTTGTCTACACTGGCAACTGAACGGTTTTGTCGTTCAGAGATGTTAACATCTCTTTCCACCCCCCCCCTCCCCCAGGACAAAAGTTTTGTTGACGAAAAGTGCCGGTGTGAATAGTGCTTTGTCGGCAGGAGCGCTCTCCTGCCCACAAAGCTACTGCCACTCGTTGCGGGTGGAAGCTTTTTTGTTGGTGGGAGAGCTAAGGATACTTCTTCATGGCTTATTGCATAGTAGGCTTGTGGGAGACTGTAACAGGGGCACTCTCTTGCTGCTCTGGTGCCTCCTAGTGGCCCATATGGGGATTAGCTTGCCGCATGGTCTGACGCCCCTTCCTGTAGTTATTCAGCTTGTCGTTCCACTCACTTGCTCCATGGTGTCTCTCATGCTCCCGAAGGTGCAGCGCTTTCCTCTTTGTGGCTTAGCCTTCTAGCCAAGTCACACTGAAGTTCCCCTCCCTTCCAGGGTATTATCAAAGTCTTCTTCCAAACTGTATGTGGAAGTCCCCAGATAGGCTGCCCCAGCATGCCACTCCCCCAGTAGCTTGTAGAGGAACCCAGGCCCACCCTCTACACTAGTTTCAATACAAGAACCCTCCACCCAGAAACTTGGGTTTCTGTTCTCCCCGCCCTTACTGCTCCTTCCCTGGACTGCTTCCTACACTGCCTGTTACAGGCTCCTACTCTCTCCCCTTGTATCAGGGAGTGTGACTGTTTCTGCCCAGGTGAGCTTCATTCCTAATTAAGCCTCATTTGCATCATAGCTCCCCTCCAGATGCAGCCTCTGGCTAATTGGCGTCTCTTGCCTATATTAACCTCTCCAGGGTTAGTGTAGGGTGAACGCCCCATCAAAGAGACACAATATTTGTTGGTTTGCTGCCAAGATCCAAGTGTTTGGTTTGTTATGGTAAATGACTACAAACTTAGCATGGCAGTACTGGCTTGCCTTATGGGGTTGCTGTGAGGTCAAATTTGCCACTCCTCCCCCAATATTGATAAATAAGCATTTACGAAACTTAAGTCAAAAGGCTTATAAACCAGGATTCCCTGTGTTGTGTGCAGTCCTAATGCTGTATTGTTGTAGTGCATAAAAACATGAAAGCAAAATAGCCTTGATTTATAATTCCCAGAAAACAGATATCCTAAGGCCAATGCGCCTTTACCATAAAATTAAAATACAGTTGCCTAAAAAGGTTCACCAAGCAGATCCTCCTTACCTTTAAACTAGAAAATATATTAACCAGAGATTAAATCAAACCTGAATTAATATCCACAAACACCAACCTTCATCAGAATCCTCAACACCAAAAGCCCATAGGAGGTGGTGGGTCTTGCAACATTCCCTGAAGGGCCATTGAGATTCAAAGGGGAGAAATGACTAGAAATTGAGGGTTCACAAGTAAAGTGAAACTGACCACTCATCTTAATCACCCAAACTGAGTAAAATCGAACAGTTATTAAGAAGTGGATGTTTAAGCACTCAGGAATCAGGTTTACTGGACATAATTTTTAATTAGCTCAGGCTTTTAGCGTTCTTTGGGTCGGGAACTGTCTTTTAATTCTTTGTTTGTTCAGGGCCTAGTATAATGGCGTCCTGGTCCATGAATGAAACTTGTAAGAGCTACAATAATACACGTAATAAATAATAACTAGTTGCCACTGTGGCCTTTTTTGTCTACAGTTTTTGTACCATTGATATCACTTAGGGGTGTGATCTTTCTACTGAAATACTTGTACTAGTACAACTCCTGGTGTAGATGCAATTGTCAGTATAAATATAAAGGTGCCTTATACCATGATAGCTTATTAACCTTCCCTACAGAAATAACCGTATTGGTATAAGGCACCTTTATTCAAATATAACTGTGACCAGACTAGGGGAGACTGGGAGTTGTACATCTTTGACTACACCAGTATGGTTAGTATGTAGACAAGGCACCAACGTGCTTTGAGCTTAACACTGATATTGGCATTTTATTTGCCTGGTTGCTTCCATGCTAGTAATTTGATACCTAACTTTAAAAAGTTTCAGTATGAGTTGAATCTGTGGTTTCTTTTCTTACCTTTCCAGAGACAAACAGCGTTTCCTTTTGTTCTGTTTCAGGAGTGGAATGTGAAGACCTTATAGAAGAGTTGCTGTGTTGCCTCATTCAGCTCATTGTTGAAATTCCCCTTCTGTAAGTACTTTTTACAGGATCTGTGTTTGAAACTTGTACTCTGTGAAGGGAATGTATTCCTCATAATTCCCAAACTAACTTTTCAAAAAAGAATTACTTTATTTGAGTATTAGCCAATTGCAAGACCATCATGTCTCATAGAAATAGTGATATATTGCCCTCTGATCTGAAGTATTTTACTGCCCTAGATAAACTGTAGGCATGCAGCCCTCCTCAGTCCATCTATTCTGCCCTATTCCATTTTACTTTGTAGTTTCATTTCAGACCCTGCATAGTACCTCTGGGAGTACACAGGAAGCACAGCTACTACACTCTGAAAAGGTGCTTTGTACACCTATTTCTGCTGGGAACAGCTGCACTAATTGTTATGGTGGGGACAGGTTGAGACTCAGGATCATTTCCCTTCAGGTGAAGCCTGCCGTTACTGTAGGTGCTAACCTGAAACTCCTGAGTGACAAAATTGTAATTGTGCCTGTTGGCAGCATAGGGACACAACGAAGTGTGAGAGAACGGCTTCTTGCCTCCTGCACTTATGCAGGATTCTGGGTTTTTAAATTAAAATTATGTTGCTCTTTTTAATCTAAAAGGTAAATTTTAATGGTGATAAGCTCTATTTCCAAACTACAGTTGAGTTGAAGTTTGAATAATAAAGAAATGATTGGGCAGACTGTTTCTATAGATCTCCAGAAATCAAACAGATTTGGTACCATGTTTATGTGATGCTGCATTTTCACAGTTTCTACCATGTAAAAAATGTACATTGATTACCTGTTCATCTGGGAGATGTGCCCTGAAATATCCTTAACTAGAGACAGTCTTTTTGTTCTGTGTTTGTACAGTCCTAGCACAATGGGGTCCTGGCCCAGGACTGGGACTTCTAGGCACTAGGATAATACAAATAATAGGTTCTTTATCTTCTAACCTCATTTTTCTGGAATGGTACTTGCTTTCTTTAATTTGAAATAATGTGTTCCCCACACCAGTCTCTCTTAATTTTAAACTTCATTTTTCCAGTATAAATTTTAACAAGGCAGTTTTGGTCAAGATTAACTTTTCATGTGTATGATCACTTGGTAGCTTGTGTCTAAAATACGTTTTGCCCAAATTGAAATGTAGTCAGTTCTGAAAGAACTTCAGTGGAATACGTGTTTCTGACTTTTCTCAGATTATCTGTTGCTGTATGCACTTCACTTTGTTGTTGCAGACTCAGGGCTTGTCTTCACTACTGGGGTAAGTCGACATAAGTTACGCTACTCCAGCTATGTTATTCACGTAGCTGGAGTCGACGTAGCTTAGGTTGACTTATCCCGGTGTCTTCACTGTGCTGAGTTGACGGGAGATGCTCTCTGATCGACTTCCCTTACTCTTCTCTGAGAGCTGGAGGACTGGGGTCGACCAGAGAGCGTTCAGCCATAGATTTAGCGGGTGTTCACTTGACCTGGTAAATCGGTCCCTGCTGCAGCGTCAATCTCCCTGTAGTGGAGATGGGGCGGCTCCAGGTACCAGCGCACCAAGCGCATGCCTGGGGCGGCAAACCGCGGGGGGCGACCTGCCGGTCGCTGTGGGGGCAGCAGTCAGGGAGCCTTCAGTGGTATGCCTGCGGGAGGTCCACTGGTCCCGCGGCTTCGGCGGCAATTCGGCGGCGGGTATGCTGAAACTGCGGGACCGGGCAGCCTCCCGCAGGCATACCGCCGAATCCGCGTTACCAGCGGACCTCCTACAGGTGCGCCGCCAAAAACCGCCTGACTGCCGTGCTTGGGGCGGCAAAATGCATAGAGCCGCCCCTGAGTGGATACCAGCCCTCAGTGTTTACATTGCTAATTGCTCTTCTGGTTGGAAAGCTGACAAATCTGTTTGCTGCGCTGATAAAGATACAACTGTTTCTGAAATACTGTGCTCATTAAATAGAATTCTGTCAGTATTACGCTAGTGTTTTGGGCTGTCACTGTTTAATGAATTAATGGTATGATTTAGAGTGTCGGTCTGCAAAGCAAAGAGGCATTGTCAGAGGCTTCCTGAAACTGTTACACTTTTTGTTCGGAACAGATTAGAGGAAATACTAAGAGGTGGAAGGGCTGAGACACATAGAGACATTCATAAATCCTGTATCTTTTTGTTGGAAGGCAGTCCAATGCCATTAAAAGTCTGATTGGCACGGGGCTGGCAGGCTCCCTACCTGGGAAGCAGCCGGCATGTCCCTCCGGCTCCTAGGCATAGGGATGGCCACGGGGGCTCCGCGCTGGCTCCGCAGCTCCCATTGGCTGGGAACCATGGCCAATGGGAGCTACGGGGGCGGCGCCTGTGGGCCGGGACAGTGCGCAGAGACACCTGGCCGCGCCTCTGTCTAGGATCCAGAGAGACATGCCGGCCGCTTCCCGGGAGCTGCCTGAGGTAAGCGTTGCCCGGAGTCTGCACTCCTCACCCCCTCCCACACCCTAGCCCTAAGCCCTCTCCCACGCCCAAACTCCCTTCTGGCGCCCGCACCCCGTCCTGCACCACAACTCCTTGCCCTAGCCCTGAGCTCCCTCCTGCACCCAACCTCCCTCCTGCAGCCAGCACCCCCTCCCCCCCCCCCCCGCCAGACCCCTCCCCTCCCCCCCGCACCCCAACCCCCAGTCTGGAGCCCCCTCCTGCACTGTGAACCCCTCATTTGTGGCCCCACCCTGGAGCCCGCACCCCTTCCCACACCCCCTGCTCCAGCCTGGTGAAAGGGTGTTTGGTTTTGTGTGATTAGAAAGTTGGCAAGCCTATGTGGGAAACATTATAGTTTAGTTTCTCTTAGGTATGTCTACACTGCAATTAAAAATCTGTGGCTGGGCCATGTCAGCTGACTTGGGCTCGCAGGGCTGTTTAATAGCGGTGTAGATGTTTGAGCTCTGGGACCCTCCCACCTCACAGGGTCCTGGAGCCCAGGCTCCAGGCTGAGCTCAAATGTCTACACTGCAGTTAAACAACCCCTTAGCTTAAGCCCCACGAGCTCGAGTCAGCTGGCACGGGCCAGCTGCAAGTGTCTAATTGCCGTGTAAACTTACATTTTTTATGTCCATACTCTTGGCTCTGTGAGTAATACACATGCAAAATATTTTTACATATAGATCACAGGTTTTCAAACTTTTTCTGCTGATGCCCCCCCTCCCCCCGCCACCTTGAAAATATTTCAGGTTGTGGCAGCCACCTTCCCCCATACCATGCCACCCTTACTTTTATGCTGGTGGTGGTGGTTGCGCTGCCTTTATAGCTGGGCACCCAGCCAGCAGCTGCTGTTCTCCAGCTGCCCAGCTCTGAAGGCAGTGCAGATGTAAGGGTGGCAATACCCCTCTACAATAGCCTTGTGACCCCCTTGTGGGTCGGGACCCCCTATTTGAGAAATGCTGAGCTAGATTTTTTTTTTAAGCCAAAATATTCCTGAGATAGTATGTTAAGATGCTGACGGTTTTGACACATCTTAAGTACAAATATGGATACTTAAAAAATGTTCATTTTGTTTACCTTTAACCATGTAAAAATATTCCAGCCAACCAGTTCTTTTGCAGGTCATTTGGTGAAGGGGAATGCATGGAAAACTGCTCCCTCTTGTACACAATACAAAAAAAAATCCTCATTGTGGATTTGCTCTTAGTTTAGTCTTTTGCAACTGTTTAGTCTTTTAGCAACTGTTGCTGAAGGTTGCCTTTCTAGTAGCTATAACGTCATCCAGAAGGGGCCCAGAACTGCAAATTGTGTTGTGCTCTTTTTCAGAAAGACATGGTAGCGTTGAAAGATTTTTTTTGGATTATGGTAACTTCAGATTTTTATCTAACTAATCAGGTTCTTTGCCAGTGAAATTTTTCTCTTCCTGCAAGCCAGATTTACCAAATCAATTTTTTCCCTATTTTGGGCATAAGAGGTCTTTAATTATTGCCTTGACAGAAATAAATCTAGAAAATCCACAAGTTTGTATGTGAATTTTGGGAAGGTCAAGCCGTTTCAGTCCAGAGGTTGTCTAAATGGACTAGGTTACATGTTCAGACTTACTGTGACTTGCTTGGCCTTCCAATAGCAGAGAACTTGAGGCCCATTCCACTACAGCGTGGGCAGCTTCTGCAACTTATGTTATTAATGTCTCTGTAGTTGTGGTCTGTAAACCTGCTTTTGGATTTGAAATTTCACTTCCATAGACTATCAATGTTCCAATGGGGAGTCCAGATTGGAAGCTCTGCTCAGTAGAGCATTCATTAGTAGTAATCAGTATACCTCCAGAGGACTGTCACTGCTAGCTAGTGCCCTACTTTGGGGTTCTGAAGAGGCAATTTCATGAAGAAAAGGTTACTTACCAGTAACTGCTCTCTGAATATATCCCTTCTTTAGATCCTTACTTATACTGCATTCCTCTCCTTAGTAAAAGATTTTAATGAACTGTCTTGGAGAAGCTGACGGATAGTTATATAGTAGCCTCCTTGTGTCCAGAATGCAGGACTGGAGTAACATTTTCATGTCCCCCAGCTGCTTTACTACTTAAATGGTTCTATGCCTTTCCTGGCAGGACATTTGACTCCTACAGAGGCAGTACTTCCACGGAGTTACTGGAAAGTACCTTTGTTTTCTCTGTGACTGCATCATTTCAGTGTGTGTCATCGCAAATTATCTCTTGGAGAACACATTAATAGAGAACCAGCCTGATGTAAAGGGAGCTGTTCAAAGTCCATTATAGAGCAGAGAGAACACTTGAATTACAGACCGTGGTGAAATTATGATTGTAAAACAAACTGGGGAAGACTTCTTCATGGAGGTTCAGTCTCAGATATCCCAGAGAGCTTCAGTTTGAATCAGATGTAGATGACTGAACAAACACTCTGGGGGCATGTAGGAGAGGAGTCTGAAAATTGCAAATTGCCAGCGTAGCCCCCCAATTTTTTTGATATATTTATTTATTTAGAAAGTTTTTACAGGTTTACAAATCATTGCCATGTATCTATCAGAGACAAAAAGATAATCATTAGAACCATGAGCTTTTGTTTAGA